GGTTTTTAGCGATCCTACGATATATACAAAATATATATGTATTGTATTGTGTGTATATATATATATAGAGAGAGAGAGAGTTTAAGGAATGTTTTGAACACCATATTGGGGATCCGACTATAGTTTAAGGCATGCTCTCCGATTTGAAGGATCCTACTATGGCTTTATAAGGCTTCAGCTATCGTCTACTGCCTTAGTTCACGGGATCTTCTTAATTCAGGTGGGTAGTTGTCAACATTATGGTCCCTTTTAAGGTACCCTAAATAATAGGTGCCGTATTATAATAAGGACCCAAAGTGGGACCCTAATTTTGACAACCACCCAGGTGATTCTGGAAGATCTAGGAGCTCACCCTAAGCCCAAAACCCCTAAACCCCTAAACCCTAAACGCCTAAAGCCTAAAAGCCTCAACCCTAAACCCTGAACCTCTGAACCCTAAACCTCTAAACCTTAAACCCTGAACCTCTAAACCCTAAATCCCTAAACCCATAAACCCTGAACTCCTAAACCCTAAAACCCTAAATCCCCCTGAACTACTAAACCCTAAAACCCTAAAACCCTAAATACCTGAACTACTAAACCCTAAAATCCTAAACCCCGAAAACCACTGAACCCCTAAAACCCTAAAGCCCTACATCCCTAAACCCCTAAACCCTAAACCCCTGAACTCCTAAACCCTAAAACCCTAAATCCCCCTGAACTACTAACCCCTAAAACCCTAAAACCCTAAATACCTGAACTACTAAACCCTAAAATCCTAAACCCCGAAAACCGCTGAACCCCTAAAACCCTANNCCCTAAACCCCTGAACTCCTAAACTCAGGCCGCAGGGCCCGAGACGCGAATCATGGAGGTGTTGCCCCCCGAGCTGGGAGGGAAACCTCCGGTTGGCTGGGGGGCGTTTGGGGCGTTTTCGGCTAGGGGTTTAGGGGTTTAGGGGTTGAGGGGTTTAGGGGTTTAGGGTTTAGGGTTTAGGGTTTAGAGGTTTAATTATTTAGTTTTTTTTTGTGTTTTGGTGGGCTTTACACTCTCACAACTCGGACAAGCCAGGTGGTTTAAGGTTTGTGCGGTTTGATTAGGGTTTAGGGCTCTTGGGCTCTTACGTCTGTTGAAGGTCTTGTGTTAAGGGTAGATGGGAAAGAAACAGCTAACACCAACAAGCCATGTCTAATCTGCTGCGATGACGAACTACACGGAATATTTCTAGATGAGACTCGGTGGTTTCAGGGTTTATGCAAGTTTGGCATCTCTTGTTGGAATGGCTTAGCGGCGC